ATCCAGTGGCCAGTATATCTGCCTTCTGCTATACCCAACTGGCCTGGGTCTATCACAGCGGTTTCACCTATAACTCAGTAAGATTTTTTGGCTCCCGAGGACAGCGTTGTATCGGGGTAGAGGTGTAATATCTTTTACTGGACCCACTTCGGATGGTGAAAGAGAGAAGCTTTTGAGCTATACAGACCTCTTCTTCAGCTCTTTCATTATGTAAGAGAATAAATACATATTGAAAAAAAAAAAAAAAAAGGCAGAACAGAGGCTATGGCTACATGGCCCTGTAGTCTGGAGAGGCGAATTGCAGTGCGCACCATAGTGCGATGCTGTAAGTGCCCCCTGTGGATGCTGCGGACACAGACTAAAAGGTACCTGGTTCGCATTAACGTTGTCCTCTTTGAAGGACTTCGGTGTGCGCGCTGCAATGTGCCTATCCGTAGTCCAATCTGCAGGGCCGTGTAGACAAACCCAAAGAGGGGCCTGAACTAAAATCCCAGAGCCCAGTGCTCCACATGAACGCGTTTATTAAATGGATTCTTTTTCTGAAATTCCTACCTTTTTGTTGTTGTGCATTTTTAGACTTTCACAGCTAGTTTTAATCACACGTCATTTACTCAAGAGGCCGTACCTGTCTCTTTGGGAAAGGTCTGTTGTGTCTAAATCCTAATTCTGGGTTCAATAGCATATTATCTACCTAACTGAGAGCACACAGAGTATGTCTACACTGCAGCTGGGAGCCAGCCAGGTAGACAGACTTGCACTAGCTAGCTCACTAAAAATATCAAGGTGGAGGCTGTGGCTCTGTTGGAGACTCGGGCTAGCCACCTGGTCTCAGGTCCAGGGCGTTAGGTGGCCCAGCCCGCTGCCAGAGCCACAATGTCCACACCGCTATTTTTAGCGAGCTCGCTCCAGCTGAGCTAGCGCGAGTCCATCCAGCTAGGCTGGGAGGCTCTCTGCCAGCTGCAGTGTAGACAGACCCATAGTGGTCTGGGTATTTGTGCACGATCCTGGAACACCTGGACCATTCGAGGTTTCCTTTCCCCCCAGATTGTTACGAAGTTGTCGGAAGGTAAAGAATCCCTGGTTGCTGAGGAAGTGAATAAGTTAATGAGCAGCCTGACTGAGTCCAAACAGGTGAGAGGAACTCAGTTCTCTTTAGAGCAGCACAGAAGACAAAGGGAGGCCCTGATCCCGCGTCAGGAGCCATCAGCTTGGACCCCTAGGCCTGTGCAGAGTCCTGTTGACGTCAGCGGGTCTGAGCTAGCAGATTGCACTAAGGCCCCAATCCTGCAATGCTAAGGGCAGCATTGGATCCGGGGATGGCGATGTGGCAGGAAAGACCCAGTTCAGGCGGACTAAGACCCCTGTATTTACTCCCATAGTATTTTAAAGCTCCTGTACAATGAGACCGTGTTAGCACATTCCACGGTACCTGGCCTGGAGGTTCTTTTTGTTCCCTGTCCTAGGATTGCGGGTTCACCAGAACTTTGTGTGTAAATAAAAACAGCCTTTGGTACAGTCAGCCTCCTGCTCTTCTGGCTGGCGGTGTTTCAGCCCAGTGCTGGGTTGGTGGTCCCCTCGGTAGTGAACTATAACATGGCAAGTCTTTGTGATCTGGACCACGCCAAAGAGAACTTGGCAGGAAGAAGAGGCAGATTCTAAAGGAGGAAGCTATTTACAAACAACCCCCTGTTCATCATCAGTGCAGGGGAGAAAGCAGAGAGTCTGTGACAGTTCAGGGAGTTGACTGAAGTGTATTAGTTCCCTTAGGGGTGAGTATGTCAGCTCTGCTCCCGCAGAACACCCAGCTCCACTGGCCCGGGG